CATTCAATCCATAGAAGTCCATTCAAGAAATTCAACAAGAACTTCAACAAGAAATTCAACCTATCAACAATAATTGAAAATAGAAGTCTATTCAAGTCCATTCAATCAATAAGTACATCCATAAAATCCATTCCATCCATAAGTACATCCATCAAATTCCCCAACAGCTATGAACTCAGTAATTTACATTATAAAATAGAAAACAATACAAAATACAATCACATAAAGCACGACATTCAATTTATTCTCCATCCTTCGAAGCCTTCTAGCATGCTCCTGAAATTCATTATCCATCTCATAAACCCTTGTGCTTAGATTGTTAAATTCTTCGCTTTTAATAGATGAACGAGGTGCAGCATTGGAGATCACGTCGTCGTCATCATCATCTGTGAACTTGAAGTAATTGCAGTGTTGCTCACTAATCTACAATGCATGACAATCAGTTAATCAAATCAGGGAATAAATTTGCAAACAAATTTCAATACTGCTTACATATCTCGATGGACATACAAAGTACACACGCCCTTTATTTCCATTCTGATTGGTTCAGACAATGTGAATGGCAGCTGTTCTCCCACAATCACACAATCTTGGATTCCATCTTATATTGCTATTATTTCTAGAGGAAGAAGCCATTTTGTAATATGCATACAAAATGGAACATAAATGTTATAGGTTCATCTGTTGGGTAGCAGCAACTATAAGCACGAACCCACAAACAGAACATAAATGTTATATGGCATCAGGTAAGTCAAGAATGACAGAACCTTAACTACAGAGCGAATATTTCAGTCTAAAACAAATAAGGACAAATTTGTGTGGAACTACAATCAGCCATTGGCGTCTATATATATATCAAGCACATTTTACTTGAGTTTGTTATTTTAGCCATCACTAGAGATTAATTGAATTTAATGCAGTTGAAAATTGGAAAGGGACATTTATTAGTTGATGTTATTTCCATTTGAACATACATACTCAAATAAAATAGAAAGCTACAATCAGCCATTGGCGTCTATATATATATCAAGCACATTGTCACTTTAGGTAAAGACAGATCCTAATGGATGCATCCACAATTCTGCATAGTGCTAGGTTGCTTTCAGTCCATCTATGTAGTGTAACTTCTTTTTTTAATGCATTATTTATGTACTTTTGAACTTTGATCTTCCACTAACCTTGAAATTGCATGTAGGTAAGCAAAGGGCTTGGACTCACTGCACATATTATTGACCACTGTAAATTGATTCTTAAGTTTCCTTAGGGCACTAACATCACTTGGGTCTGTCCATTCTTCCCCTCACCTTTCCAATTAACCAACTCTCTCAGATTCTTACCAACATTTTGTAAAAAGATTGCTCCTCAAACCTGCCAGCCATAGAGGCAACCATGCTAAAATCCCATCATTCCCAACCTTACAATCAAGTGTAAGCTTAATTTAGTTTACAATCAGTTCTAAGGTAATTTATTAGACTAATCTAATTTTCAAAAGTTATCAGTTGTGATGGCTGACCTAGACGATCAACATAACCCTAACAATCATTAATGTTATTAGACTACACATTCAACATAACAACCAACATAACCCTAACAACCATTAATTAACATAACCCTAACAATCATTAATGTTAACAAATTTTCATACATTTCGGTAGCATTTACCATGTTAACATTCCACCATGTTTTTACACAACTGAATGACACATTCAACATACCAATCAAAAAATGAAGGCAAAACCCATAATGCCCAAACCCTAACAAACAGTCATAACCCTAACAATCATTCATTGACAAATCATGTTCTACAAATTCAAGCCAAAACCAAAACCCTAAATTAAGCTTACACTTGCGATTATGGGTTTACTTTTGCTTGTGGTACTTTTTTTTTCTGCTATTCAACATTGCTGAATCCACACTTAGATCTGTTATGCGAGTCCACCCGTAGCTGATGAGAGGATTTGGAAGAGATTAAGGGCTCCAGGAGAGAGTGAGGAAAGAAAGAAAAAAATTCAAAATCGAAACGACATCATTTCAGTAATTCAGGGGATTCGGGGGGAAGTCTTTCAAGCTACAAAACATTTTTGTTAAAAAAATTGTGTGAAGAATGAATAATCAAATTATAATGAATGTATAAGAATGTCATTTCAAATTACTGCACAATAAATATGCATGGCTCCATTCTTTTCACGTGGCATTAGCGCCATCCTAAATTTAATTCAATTATTTAATCAAATTATTATTATTATTTTTTATGAATAATTTGTTCGATCAATTTTACAAATCGAATGCAGCCCAAAGTAGAGTCCATCCAATGAAACGCAGCATGGACCTGCTGTTCTTTTTTACTAATGACGCGAACGGAATTGCTTGATACAGTTGGTATAAAGAGTGGTACTAATGTTTATGCTTCTTTGTAGTTGTACATTATCCTGGAAATATCCAGTTATTCGCGTGATTCGAACTGTGTTGACTCTCTCTCTCTCTCTCTCTCTCTCTCTCTAGAAAACATGTAATTCTATAGTCTGGTCTCCACTTAGCTCCTTCACCTTGACATCATAATTCAACAAGTCCATTATAGAAATTCAATAAATTCAACATGTCTGGTATTGAACTATCAACAAGTCCATTCAATCCATAGAAGTCCATTCAAGAAATTCAACAAGAACTTCAACAAGAAATTCAACCTATCAACAATAATTGAAAATAGAAGTCTATTCAAGTCCATTCAATCCATAAGTACATCCATAAAATCCATTCCATCCATAAGTGCATCCATCAAATTCCCCAACAGCTATGAACTCAGTAATTTACATTATAAAATAGAAAACAATACAAAATACAATCACATAAAGCACGACATTCAATTTCTTCTCCATCCTTCGAAGCCTTCTAGCATGCTCTTGAAATTCATTATCCATCTCATAAACCCTTGTGCTTAGATTGTTAAATTCTTCGCTTTTAATAGATGTACGAGGTGCAGCATTGGAGATCACGTCGTCGTCATCATCATCATCTGTGAACTTGAAGTAATTGCAGTGTTGCTCACTAATCTACAATGCATGACAATCAGTTAATCAAATCAGGGAATAAATTTGCAAACAAATTTCAATACTGCTTACATATCTCGATGGACATACAAAGTACACACGCCCTTTATTTCCATTCTGATTGGTTCAGACAATGTGAATGGCAGTTGTTCTCCCACAATCACACAATCTTGGATTCCATCTTATATTGCTATTATTACTAGAGGAAGAAGCCATTTTGTAATCTGCATACAAAATGGAACATAAATGTTATAGGTTCATCTGTTGGGTAGCAGCAACTATAAGCACGAACCCACAAACAGAACATAAATGTCAGTTGAAAATTGGAAAGGGGCATTTATTAGTTGATGTTATTTCCATTTGAACATACATACTCAAATAAAATAGAAAGCTACAATCAGCCATTGGCGTCTATATATATATCAAGCACATTTTACTTGAGTTTGTTATTTTAGCCATCACTAGAGATTAATTGAATTTAATGCAGTTGAAAATTGGAAAGGGGCATTTATTAGTTGATGTTATTTCCATTTGAACATACATACTCAAATAAAATAGAAAGCTACAATCAGCCATTGGCGTCTATATATATATCAAGCACATTGTCACTTTAGGTAAAGACAGATCCTAATGGATGCATCCACAATTCTGCATAGTGCTAGGTTGCTTTCAGTCCATCTATGTAGTGTAACTTCTTTTTTTAATGCATTATTTATGTACTTTTGAACTTTGATCTTCCACTAACCTTGAAATTGCATGTAGGTAAGCAAAGGGCTTGGACTCACTGCACATATTATTGACCACTGTAAATTGATTCTTAAGTTTCCTTAGGGCACTAACATCACTTGGGTCTGTCCATTCTTCCCCTCACCTTTCCAATTAACCAACTCTCTCAGATTCTTACCAACATTTTGTAAAAAGATTGCTCCTCAAACCTGCCAGCCATAGAGGCAACCATGCTAAAATCCCATCATTCCCAACCTTACAATCAAGTGTAAGCTTAATTTAGTTTACAATCAGTTCTAAGGTAATTTATTAGACTAATCTAATTTTCAAAAGTTATCAGTTGGGATGGCTGACCTAGACGATCAACATAACCCTAACAATCATTAATCAACATAACCCTAACAACCATTAATGTTAACAGATTTTCATACATTTCGGTAGCATTTACCATGTTAACATTCCACCATGTTTTTACACAACTGAATGACACATTCAACATAATAATCAAAAAATGAAGGCAAAACCCATAATGCCCAAACCCTAACAAACAATCATAACCCTAACAATCATTCATTGACAAATCATGTTCTACAAATTCAAGCCAAAACCAAAACCCTAAATTAAGCTTACACTTGCGATTATGGGTTTACTTTTGCTTGTGGTACTTTTTTTTTCTGCTATTCAACATTGCTGAATCCACACTTAGATCTGTTATGCGAGTCCACCCGTAGCTGATGAGAGGATTTGGAAGAGATTAAGGGCTCCAGGAGAGAGTGAGTAGAGAGAGATGAGAGGATTTGGAAGGAGAGAGTGAGGAAAGAAAAAAAAAATTTCAAAATCGAAACGACGTCATTTCAGTAATTCAGGGGATTCGGGGGGAAGTCTTTCAAGCTACAAAATATTTTTGTTAAAAAAATTGTGTGAAGAATGGATAATCAAATTATATTGAATGTCATATAAGGATAAGAATGTCATTTTAAATTACTGCACAATAAATATGCATGGCTCCATTCTTTTCACGTGGCATTAGCGCCACCCTAAATTTAATTCAATTATTTAATCAAATTATTATTATTATTTTTTATGAATAATTTGTTCGATCAATTTTACAAATCGAATGCAGCCCTATTATTATTATTTTTTATGAATAATTTGTTCGATCAATTTTACAAATCGAATGCAGCCCAAAGTAGAGTCCATCCAATGAAACGCAGCATGGACCTGCTGTTCTTTTTTACTAATGACGCGAACGGAATTGCTTGATACTGTCGGTATAATAAGAGTGGTATTAAAATGTTTATGCTTCTTTGTAGTTGTACATTATCCTGGAAATATCCAGTTATTCGCGTGATTCGAACTGTGTTGACTCTCTCTCTCTCTCTCTCTCTCCCTCTCCCTCTATTGAATTCATCCAAAACCCTAAAACCCTCCTTCCCCATCTGATCTACAGCAGGAACTCTCTCTCTCTCTCTAAACCCTAAAGATGAGGAATTATCCATTGCGTTTGGTTCTTCTCCGATGTCACTCTCGATCTCAACAACTTCATTTTTCCAGACACTTGTCTCACTTCCATTCACACCCAAGTTCGCTTCGCCATTTCTCTTCACTCATCCGCTCTCGCTCCCTCTTCGTTTCTCAGATTCCGGACTCCAAAAATCTCACATTTCGCTGCTTCTCTTCCTCCGAGCTCGCCATCCAACACAAAGACTCAGATCACGTACTCCTCTTGACCGATATCTTCTCTAAATCACAACCAACTAGCGATGAAATCAAGCTCCAGTTAGATTCCAACAACATCGTCATTACCCATGAGTTAGTATTGAAGGTTCTGCGAAGCCTCGACGCCACTCCTGATGTTGCTCGGAGGTTTTTCGATTGGGTTTCGGAGAGCCAAGGCGAGCGATTGAGCTCCAAATCGTATAATTTGATGCTGGGTATACTGGGTTCAAATGGGTATGTGAAGGAATTTTGGGATTTGGTTGGGATTATGAAGAAGAAAGGGTATGGGGTGATAAAGGGCGCACACGTTAGGGTTTTGGAGAAATTTGAGAAAGAAGGACTAGTTAGTGATGTGGAGAATTTGAAAGAATTGTATGCATCAGGATCAGTGGATAATTCGGCTGAGAAGGTGTGTTCGCGGGTTTGTAAGGTGATTAAGCGAGATGTGTGGGGAGATGAAGTCGAAAAATTGTTACGGGAATTGAAAATTGAGTATTCGAGTGATTTTGTTGTGATGGTTTTGGGAAATCTTACAACAGAAACAAACAAGGCATTGATATTTTTTCGGTGGATTCAGGAGAGCAATTTATTTAAGCATGATGAACGTACTTGTAATGCTATGCTTAGGGTTTTGGGAAGAGAGGACAGCATTGAAAAGTTCTGGAGGGTGGTGGATGAAATGAGGGCTGCCGGCTATGAAATGGGGGAGGAGACATATGTTGAGGTTTTGGGGCGGTTTATAAATAGGAAGATGATAAAGGATGCTGTGGATTTGTACGAGTTTGCGATGGGAGGTGCAAATAAGCCCTCGGTTCAGGATTGTGCGTTTCTTTTGAGGAAAATAGTGGTTAGCAAGGAGCTAGATATGGATTTGTTTCTGAAAGTTGTCAAGGCTTTTACTGAGGGTGGGAATGTGTTGACGGGTTCGACAGTGGATGCTGTTCTCAAGTCTTTAACCAGTGTTGGTAGATTTGGGGAATGCAATAAGATCTTGAAAGCGATGGAGGAAGGTGGTTTCTTACCTGGTGATACTTTGCAAAGTAAAATTGCCTTTCAGCTTAGTAGTAATGGGAAAAAGGAAGAAGCTAGTGAGTTTATGGATAATATGAGAGCCTCTGGGTGTATTCCACATTACAAAACATGGGCATCTTTAGTTGAAGGGCACTGTGTTGCTGGTGACCTTAATGAAGCTTCTGATTGTTTTCAGAGGATGGTTGAAAAAGTGGGGGCCTCTTGTGCTGGTTATGCTTTAGAATTGTTGGTTAACGCATATTGCCATAAGAACAGAGCAATCGATGTGTACGAACTTCTGACTGACATGGTCAATGAGAAAGAGTTAAAACCTTGGCATTCTACATACAAGGTATTAATAAGCAAGTTACTGGTTCAGGGAGGTTTTAAAGAAGCTTTGAACCTTTTGGGATTAATGAAAAATCAGGGTTTCCCACCTTTCTTGGATCCATTTATTGAGTATGTTTCAAAGACTGGAACTGCTGATGAAGCTATGACGTTTCTGAATGCGATGACTGTGAAGAGGTTTCCATCTACAGTCGTGTTTCTTCGAGTCTTTGAAGCGTATCTGAAGGCTGGAAGGCATAATGAAGCACACAATCTCCTTTCTAAATGCCCGCGGCACATTCGTAACCATGCTGATATTTTGAATCTCTTCTTTATCATGAAGTCTCAAGCTGCGACTGCTGCCACTTCTGTAGCTGCTTAGGATCAGATGGGTGTACATTGTATGCCATTTCTTCAAAAATTTTGGTATGAAACTTTTTCACTCTTCCTGTTTGGAGGAAAATCAACTTTATTTGCAACCATAAAGTTACAGTAATAAAAATTTATTGATTTTCTGATAAACGAATTTTTTCTTTTGTTGTTTGTGACATCTGAAGCAGTTGGTTAATGAGTAGACTTGACATATGATCAAAGAAATGAGCATGCTGTTGATTCATCTATGATTTCTTTGATGTTGTGACATCTGTAGTACTATACTATAGATTTGCTTTTCAATCAGCTGAAGCTTTAAAATCTGTATGGTAGTTCTTGATTAAGATTCATACAAGACAAACACCTTTGATAAAGTGCTGACTTGACTTTTAAAGCTTTTTTTATGAGGTATAGTTTTGCTGATCCTTCACTGTCTATGTTGCTTTCCTTGTATGGCCTTGTTCAACAATGCAATCTTAATGCTTGCCTTAAAAAAAATTTCCACTTTCGTAGTAAGACCTGTTTCTCAGGCCTTAGGATTTTTGGGTAGTCAGGTGACTGGCAGGGATTTCTTCAGCACTATTTGGGACTGACTTAGTGACTTTGAAATGTTTAGGGACTAGTCAGGGATTATGATCGTAGAAGTGCTGTGTACATATAGTCTCTAGAAATCAGCTGTAGCCTTCAATTAGTTTTCCAACTTAATTTCTGATTAATAGATTTAGTAGACATCTCTGAGTCTTAAATCTTAGATCTTACTTGTTTAACTTCTATGTTTTATTGTTCTTGGGGGAGTCATTCAATTCGATCTTGTAGATTGGATGTGAATGCCCGTTGAGGGTGGTGGTTTTTGCCTTCATTGTATATGCCTGTTTAATCAAAGCTTTGATGGGAAAGTGGCTATGAAGATACGCTGAGCAAGAAAGCAGTTACTTATAAAGAGGGGTGATTGAAGTTTGGAGTGGATGAAAGAGGAAGGACTTCTAAGGAGAGTCAAGAACTGTGTGGGGTGGGAGTGAGGTAAGCTATCAGAAGGGGATGGCCAGATTTTTTTAGCATGACAGGTTTGAGCTAGGAGATGATAGCAGGACTGTTGTTTTGTACCCCATTCTTACTACTGATAATTTGATCAAGAGAAGCTTCAAAATATCTAATAGATGTTGTATGTGTTGCAAGGCAGAGGCGATGGTGGATATTGGCTTCTCCGTTGTGATGTTGCCTAGGAGGCAAGGAGTTGTGGGACTAGTAGTTGCTCATTTTGGGGTTCAATGGGTGATGCCATATTCTGTGCAGAGTGTTTGGTAGTGGTGGCAGGTAAATGAGCAAGAGGAAAGATTGGATGGTGTGGTGGCTCCCCCATGTGCTATGTGGTGCTTCTGGAGAGAAAGAAAAAGACTATTTTGGAAGAGACAAAATTGGGAGTTGCATAGTTTTCACTTCTGATGTGAAGTTTTTTTTATATTTATTTTAATCCTCTCTTCTTTTTTCTTATGGGAGCTCAATTTTCTGCGTCAAGCCTTTATGATTCTTATGCTTTTTGTGCATGAGTATAAATTATAATCCTCTACTTACCAACAAAATTTTGCTATTTCTGTTGTTAGCGTTGCATCAATGAGACAGATAATTTTGTTGCCATTATTTTTTGTTTCCCCTCAATTTAATAGCCAGAAGTCCATCATAGTATAGGTCAGATCCATTGCAGCAATTTGATAGCTTATTAACTTGCTGCTCTGCATTGGTGATTTTAATTTCTTGATAATTAGCCAGATGATTGCCATAAGGGTTTGTAGAAATCAAAAGAATGACTTCTAGTGGCCATTGGAGATCAGTTTGAAAATTTTAGGTGATGATGAGACTTTGCCTACTTGGACGTTAGTGCTTGTGCAATTTATCAAAACATGTATAATGGCTTATCTTACATGTGATTGGGAAAGTATTTCCTAGAATTACATTTCCGAACGCAGTGGGTATCACTTAAGACATTTTTTCTTGAAGGTGCTTCTCAATGTTTCCTACTAGGTGATTTTTAGAAAAATAAAAAAATAATAAAAAGAATCTTTTTAAAATGTGCAAGAGATGGATCTAAAATGTACCTCACCAAGTACTGTAATGTTTGTTATTTTTGCTGTGTTATTTATTACGAAGACTCATATTCTGCATTTTTTCATTACATCAAATTCATATAAAAGTGCTATTCAGTGTGTTTTGTTTCAGTTTTCTGAATTCTGTTTTCTAAAAATTGAGTTTTTTTTTTGTTTTTTTGTTTTTAGTGAATATTTTTTAAATTTTAAGCATTTTTTTTTTAAAACTTTTTTAGATACACCTTACTTAGATGTATCTAAATAGTAAAATATTTGTGAAAAATATTTTAAAAAATTAATAAATACACAAAAATACAAAAAATGTACTGAATTTTTTTTTTTTTTGGTATTTAGTGAATTTTTTTTAAAAAAATTTACAAATATTGTACTTTTCAAGTGTATTTATGTTTGGTGTGTCTAAAAATTAAAAAAAAAAATTACTTAGAATATTAAAAAAATTCATTGAAAACAAAAAAAAATACGGAAAATAAAAAGTAGAATTTTTTGAAAGATGTTTTCTGAAAACCAAAATCAAACAAGCTGATTTTTATTTTATTTTATTGGTTTGTGATAATAACCCAAATTTACCTATTTGTATTTTGTATCATTTACATATGATAATCTCGAGTGTATTATTCTGTCAGAGTAAGGTGCAAGTTCAACTTCATATTTGTGTCGCTGCTTTTGAGTACTATTATTAGTTGGTTTGAGTCTTGGACATGTTAATGCTCCTGTTTATTTGTAAATCTTTGAGGTGTCGGAGCTGTCTTTATCACTGTCAAAATGCAGGTTAGAGTTACAGATGGAGGTTTAATAGAGTGGTGAACTGATTAAACTGTTGATAGACACAAATATCATTAATATGTTTCCATTGTTCATAAATTACTTAATTATTTTTACAAATTTGTGGTGTGCTTGTGTATATTACCGTTTTTGATTTGTTGGAGCTGTTAGATCTCTGGTAGGTTATCAACTTCTGTGGTTTGTGCCCAGCTAGCACCATAAGTACAAGACCATGTTGCCTAGATGCGTTTGAGCTCTATGTTTTAAAACCTTAAAGAAGAAAAAAGAGGGGAAAAAACCAAGTGCTTCCCCATGTGATCCAACCCCACTGCGTAAGCTCTTCTGTTCCTCCCAAACTCAAACCCCAGTATCTTTTTCTCTTACTTTTTTTTTGGTTGTGGGGACTATGGTGTTTCCTCTGGTCTCCTCTCACATTCAAAAATTTCAAGCACTTTCATTAGGCTTTTTGATCCAGCCCCACTGCATAAACTTATGTACCGCCAAACTCTAAACACATCTTTTTTTCTTCTTTTCTCTTCTTTTTGAAAAGGAAAAGGGGGAGGGGGATCTATGGTGCTTCCCCTGGTTTCCTCTCACATTTTCAAAATTTTCTTGCACTTTCCAAGTGCTAATGAATTTTCTTTGTCAGGGAGTGATTCTTAAAGCAAAAGCCTTTCAAGTCAAATGACATTGTATGATCCATTTCTTCTTTAAACCAGATGGATTTCTGATGATTGACTAATGAGCATTTGGAACAACAGTAAAAAAAAAAAAAATTGGTTGGCCATGAAGTGGTTTTGACATTTTGCTAAATTCTTGATTTATGCCACGACATCACCATGGGTTTCCTCTTGGGTTTTGTAGGCTGAAGTGGGAGATCAAGTCCAGAGTCATATTATTTGCTGCATGGTGTTTTAGTTGGTTTATTTTGCTATTAGTTTTGGGATTTGATTAGAATTAAGGAGAATAAAGGATACAAGCAATTCCAATGCTGGATGCTGAGTTTATGTAGGAAGGGTTGGGTAATAATTAGGCAAACGTTGAGATTGGGGCATCTGCTTCTAATCTACTGATATTTGAGTCCAAAAAGTTGGCTCCAGGATCTGTAAGGTGATGAGACGAGAAAAAGGGGAGATGCCCTTGGCAAGTGTTTATGAGAAGTTTACGGCCTGTAGTAACCGTTTCGTTTTTAGTTTTCAGTTTATATTTACAAAAATTTTAAAAATTGTCATAAAAAGTTGTTTGATAATTTTTTGGGTTTATAAATGGTTGTCTTAGTTTGTAAATTTGAGGAAAAAATGTAAACTGGTTTTTAAACAGAAATTTAAAAATTTGACTAAATTTTTTTTTTTCAATTAATTTTTTTAATTACTTTTTTTGTCAATTATAATGTGTATGATCCCATTGTCATAAATAATAAATAATAAATATAAATATTTGTGGCCTGAACAAACATATTTTTTAGTTTATATTTTTAAAATTTTTCAAACATTTTGTTCAAACCAAATGCGTTTGTAATTTATGTTTTTCTAAAAATAAACAAAAATTAATTTATAAAATTTTTGTAAACATAAACTAAAAATGTAAACGTTACTAAACGCTACCTTAGTGTTTGTTGTGATTTGAAAAAAAGTTAACCTTGTTTATTAAATGCCTAGAATTTTTTATTTTTATCTTTTAATTCTTAATCTTCTAAGTTTTATTCTCAACTGGTTGGATTGTTTTTCCAATACTTACGGTTAAAGACCCAATCTTATATTATGTCCTAAATATCTAGAATTGAAATGTTGGACTGATAGATATTTTTAGAATGTTACGTCTGTTATTTATTTATTTATTTTTAGGAGTCTTGTAGCCTGGTATACAATATGGCTAGGGTTTTCCCCCAAACATTGAAATTATGACTGCTCGATTGTTTTTCCATAAGCATTAGGAATTGTGTAGGATTGTTTATGGGAGACAGAAAAAGGCTGCTTGAGTAATCCCATTTCATATTGTAGTTACTACACGCTTGCTTGATTAAAATGATTTTTGTTAGTTATCCAGCTAAATGCATTTGTGGTATCTGTACACTATTGGAGAAGTTTTTTATAAACCTAAAACATTTTATCAGCCATGTTTCTTTGACTCAGTCTGAAATTTGGGTACTGATTAAAGATCTATATTTTGTATAAAGACACAGACAACTGATACACTGAGAATCTCTGGTGATCTCTGGAATTTTCCACTCCAGGGATGGTCAGTGTTTGAAATATTGATTCAAAAGATTACGTCCTACTCTTTTTTCTTCTTTAATTTTTTAACAATGAACACAAAAGTCTAGAATTGAAGTGTGAAGTCTGCATCTACATTAAAGTTTGTGCCTGCCTTTGCTTTAAATCAAAGGTTGAGAATCCACTTACTTTCCCATGGTTGCAAACGTATTGCAGTTGGCGGTACAGATTCTAATTCCATATTTTGTGTCTTGTAAACAATTATTAGTCTTTATAAACGTAAATCAACTAACTAATGTTTGACAGCAAGTAGTT